CTTCAGCATTCTCCTGCTGAGAGGAGGGTGTGCGCGAGAGGAAGCGCCACAGTCCCAGCCTTGGAGACACACAGTCGTTTGCTTCTGTCCTGAAAGCGCCTGGCCCAGGCGTCCAGTGGCTGTTGGCAGCAGAAGAGGAGAGGCCCCCGGAGGCCGGCTGCAGCCCAGAGTCCGTGAGGGCGAGTTGTGGGGGGACAGTATGAGTCTGCGTGCTCGTGTGCCTGGAGGACATTGCCAGAGAAGCCGTCTGTCCCCTGCTGGATTTCTGTGCTTCCCAATTCAGGCCAAGGTGGGGGGCCATCTGCCGAACTGGGAACAGAAAAAACACTTTCGCTGTGCAGAAAATTGGCTTCCAAGGAGAGGCAGTGCTCGGTACAGAACCAGCCAAGAGCAGTGCAGGCTGACAAAGCGGGGGCTGCTCGGCCAGGGCAGGGCTGCCCCTCCACCCTCTGCTCCCAGCGCCCCCTGGCTAGGCTTCAGCCTGCAGACCACCCAGCCCCTCCGATGTATCAAGCCCCTTCTTAGGGGCCTTTGCATAGAGGCTGCATGTGGGGGCTGCTGCCCCTCTTATTTATTTACTTATTCTTTGAGATAGACTCTTACCCAGGCTGGAGTGATGTGTCATGATCCCGGCTCACTGCAGCCTCCGCCTCCCGGGTTCAAGTGAGTCTCTTGCCTCAGCCTCCTGAGTACAGGTGCGCGCCACCACGCCTGGCAAATTTTTGCATTTTTAGTAAAGACGGGGTTTCACCATGTTGGCCAGGCTGGTCTCGAACTCCTGACCTCAGGTGATCCGCCCGCCTCGGCCTCCCAAAATGCTGGGATTATAGGCTTAAGCCACTGTGCCTGGCCTTCCTCTTTCTTTTAAAAATGCTCCTATTCTAATGAGACATAATTCACAAACCATGCAATTCACCCATGTAAAGCGTGCAACTCAATGGCTTTGGGTATAGTACAGTACTAATTTGTAAAAATTGTGGTAAGTGTAAATAACACCAAACGTACTGTGTTCACCATTTTTAAGTGTACAATTCAGCGGCATTAAGGACAGTCACAATGTTGTACAGCCACGAGGACCACCTATTTCCAAAACCTTTTCATTACTGCAAACAGAAACTCTGGCCCCATGAAGCAACAACTAATCTCCGTTCCACCCCAAAGCCTGGCTGCTGGGTGCCTCTACTTTACTTCCTCTGCTGCGCATTCGCCTGCTCGGGGCGCCTCACAGCAGTGGCATCGGACAGGCTGTCCAGGTGCCCGGCTTCTTTCACCCAGCGCCGTGTTGTCAGGTTCAGCCACGCTGTAGTGCGTGCCAGGGCTTCCTTCCTTCCCACAGCTGAAGAAGACTCTTCTGTGTATACAAACCACGTGTTGTTTCTCCATTCTGCTGTGGAAGGACAGGTGGGCTGTGTCCAGTTTCTGGCTGTTGTGAATAACGCTGCTGAGAACATGGGTGCCGGTGTCTGCTGGAGGCCTTGTTTTTGAGTATATACTCAGAAGTGTAATTGCTGGATCATATGAGAATTCTATGTTTAGCTTTCTTGAGGAGCTGCCAAACTGTCTTCCATGGCAGCTCACCATGTTCCGTTCCCACCAGCAGTACACAGGGGTCCGACGTCTCCACGTCCTCCCCAACACCTGCAATTCTCTGGTTTTTAGACAGCAGCCATCCTAATGGGTGTGAATTGGTGCTTCGCTGTGTTTTTGCTTGTTTGTTTTTGAGACGGAGTCTCAGTCTGTCATCTAGGCTGGAGTGCAGTGCACCTGTAATTCATCCTGAGTAGCCGGGATTACAGATGAGCGCCATCATATCCAACTAATTTTGTGTTTTTAGCAGAGACAGCATTTCACCATGTTGGCCGGGCTGGTCTCAAACTCCTGATCTCAGATGATTCACTTGTCTTGGCTTCCCACAGCCTTGGGATTACAGGCATGAGCCACCTTTCCCGGCCTCTCATTGTGGTCTTGATGTGCATTTACCTGATGGTGAGCAAGGGCGAGTGATGGTTAGTGAGTGATGGTGAGTGACCGTGAGTGACACTGAGTGATGGTGAGTGACAGTAAGTGATGGTGAGCGATGGTGAGTGAATGATAGTGAGCAATGGTGTGTGATGGTGAGTGATGATGGCGAGTGATGATGGTGAGTGATGGTGAGTGATGATGCTGAGTGATGGTGAGTGATGATGCTGAGTGATGCTGAGTGATGGTGAGTGATGATCCTGAGTGATGGTGAGTGATGACGGTGAGCATCTTTCATGTGCCCCCTGGCCATTCACAGATCTTGTGAGAAATGTCTATTCACACCCTCGGCCTTTTGGATCAGGGTTGCAGTCGGTGAGTTTGCAGAAACCCTTTATATAGTCTGGATGTTAATCCCTTATCTGGGAGATAATTTACAAGTATTTTCTCCCATCCTATGGGTTGTCTTTTCACTTTACTGATAGTATCTTTCGCTGGGATGGGGTCTGATCTAGATTCCTTTTATTTCCTGTGCTTTTGATGTTGTATCCAAGAAATCATTTGCTTCACTAAATCCTACTCATCCCTGGCCCTCACCCCCAGTATAAACTTGTCCTCTTTGCCATTCTGCCCCGTCGCACCTGACCTTCCCTTCCAGGGCGAACCACACTCTCTGGGTCTGTACAGTCCCCCACTCAGGATATGCACCCCGCAGGCAGGGGTCTTGTCTGTTTTGTTCCTCATAGAAATCCCTTCTGGCGTGAACATTCTTGGCTCTGGGCTTTGCTCTTCAGAATTTTCCTTCTCTAAGAATCACAGAATGTTAGCGCAGATGTAGAGAGAAGAAAAAAACAGAAGTGCTCTTTGCAATAAGAACGAACTGCTCCACATCAGAGGGAAACGGCGTGACTCTCGGGCCAGCCTGGCTCTGTTTGGGAAAACACCCCAGGGGCTCTTCTGGATCTGAAGGGTGGTCCCTACTTTCTCCCCTGCCTTCAGGGGCCCAGGCTGGAAGGACAAGGTAAAGGGCAGAGAGTGCTGAACTGCTTGGACAAAAATTGAAAGGGACTGTGGTTTTCACAGACATCCTGGGAGAGAAGAGGTGAGAGCCCATGGAACTGGGAGTTAGCAGAAGAGGTGACAGGATCAAGAAGGGCAGAGAGAGACAGCTGAGGTCATAGGGAGGCACCCAGCTGCCAAAAGGTGCCCCCTGTTGCCACCTGTAAAGAGTTCTGTCCCGTTACTGCAAACATCAGCACATGCCTGCTGCCCTGGTGGCCCGTGAGAACGATGCTTCACAGGAAGGAAGGAGCTAGGTTGTGTCCAGCTCAGACCACCCCCGGAGCCCACCTTGGAAGCCGGAAGTGCACAGGGAGCCAGCAGGGAAACGGGATCCTCCCTGACCCTGGGCTTCCACCGCGTGGGGGTGGGAACTGCATTGGGTGGAATATGTCACCCCAAATCCATGCCCTCCCAGAACCTGTGTCTAGGGCTTCCTTTGGAAACAGGGTCTTTGTAGCTGCGATCAAGTTAAGATGACAGCAGGGTGGATCAGGGTGGGCCCTGAGTCCAGTGACTGGGGCCCTGATAAGAAGAGGGGAGGAGGCCGAGGCGGGCGGATCATCTGAGGTCAGGAGTTTGAGACCAGCCTGACCAACATGGTGAAACGCCATCTTTACTAAAAATACAAAAATTAGCTGGTCATGGTGGTGGGCGCCTACAATCCTAGCTACTTAGGGGGCTGTGGCAGGAGAATCACTTGCACCTGGGAGGGAGAGGTTGCAGTGAGCCAAGATCGCACCATATTGCACTCCGGCCTGGCAACAGAGCAAGTCTCCATCTCAAAAAAAAAAAAAGAAGAAGAAGAAGAAGAGGAGAGGACACAGCTGCACACCTGGGTAGGAGGCGGCAGAACGACAGAGGCAGAAGCTGCAGTGATGTCTCTGAACCAAGGGCCACCAAGGACTGCCAGCAGCCACCAGAAGCAGAAAGGGAGGCGTGAAATGGACTCTCCCTCCGAGCCTCCAGAAGAAACCAGCCCTGCTGACCCCTTGACTGTGGACTTCTGCCTTCCAGAACTGCCACAGGATGAGTCTCAAGGAGCCTAGCTGCTAATGTTTGTTTTGGCAGCCCCGGACAGCGGAGCGTCCTCCGGCCGGGGGACTGGGGAGTCCCAGGCGGCTGACTGGCCTGGCCGGGGGGGTGGCTGATCCTGCTGTAAGAAGATGCCAGACCCACTTTGAGTGTGGCAGAGGCCAGGGTGGGAGCTCTCCAGGGCTCCGGGGTCTCCAGGCTGCTGGCCCCTTGGCACCTGGCCATAGAAAGGGGAGGCCTAGAGGCTGTCAGGTCCAAGCCATGTATGGATTCTGTGCCCGCCAGCAGCCAGCTTTGGTCCTGGAGCAGAGCCAATGGCCCAGAGCAGGATCACCGACACTAAAGGACATCTGAGGAGCTGGGAGGGTGAAAGCCACATGGGAGCCATCCTGCCCCAGGACAAAAGGGACTTGTCACCCAGACTCTCCCTGTTGTGGGAATTCAGTGGTAGACAGGCAGAGAGACCAGAAGACCCCAGGGTTCCAGTAGGTGGAAAGGAAGATGGCAATAACAGCCACCAAGGGGACAGCACAGGGACAGAGAGTGAGAGCAGCAATGCGGAAGGGCCAGAGTCAGCCCTGTGGGTCCCTGAAGCAGAGGCTCCAGGCAGGGGCCCAGTGACCATGAAGGGTCCGAAGGAGGAAACTGCTCGGCCACACAGGAAACCAGCTTATCAGGAAGAGTGTGGACAAGAAGGGCAGTGGCAGGTGAGCCAGAGGCAGCTGGGGCTCAGGCAACACCCAGGTCTGGAAAGACGAAAAAGCCACCCGCCCTGGCTTTGAGCAGAGGAGAAATGGAAGTGATTTGGAGACACTTTCTGGAGGAGTAGCCAGGAGGATCTGTCTGGGGGCGGAGGTGAAGGCAGCGGAGGTGAAGGCAGCTGGGGAAGATCCCCCCTGCGGGAACATGGGGTGGGGCAGGAAGAGAACATGCAGATGGCCTCTGTGTGCCAGAACTGCTTTCCAGGAGCTTCTGACAGGAGACCGCAGCCGAGGACAGCTGGACAGGGCTGTTGCTCCACCAGCTCCAGGCAGCCTGGTGAAGCTGAACCCCCAGCCGAGAAGGGCAGAGGTGCCCACTGCCACCGCCACCCTAACTCCCTCTGAGCAGAGGGGCCACCACACTCAAGACAGGCTTTAGGACAAGAGTTGGAGGGAAAGACGAAATCAACACGGCTCTGCAGGCACCAAGGAGCCAGGACACATGGAGGCTGTGCAACCATTCCCCAGATATCTGACGTGGGCAGCAGCATGAAAGGCTGCTTGGAGGGGCGGTGAGGTCATTCCCACGATTCTGGAGAAGGCTCAGGGGACTGTGTGCTCGTCGGGGAGGGCTGAGGGGCCAGACTTGTGGATCACTAGCAGCTGGGTCAGAGGTGGCGCTCACCACCGCCCCAGTTCACACTGCCTCTGACCTGTGCCTAGGAGGGCAGGCTGGCCTTCCAGGGGGCCAGGACAACAGTGGCCCTGGCCCTGCCTGCTAGAGTGAGACATATGGGATGCACGTGTAGGCGTGTGTCCTCCTTTGATTACTGGTGCCAGGGGGTCCCGAGATGCCCAGCGAGTGCAGAGGCAGAGGCTTGGCATTGGCCGTTGCTACCCCTTTCCCCAACCGGACTGCTTCTCCTTCTTCCAGGACCCAGCCACACCTGGAGGGTGGAGCCTCTGGGGTTGCTTGAACTTCCTCCCCCCCCACCAATGCACTAGTAGACCCCTCAGGCCTCATGGAGACACTCTCCACCCACCCCACCCCCCTCTCCCCTTCACCCCTGACCTAGGAGGTCAGAAGAATTTGGTACTATGGAAAGGAACATGGGGCATGGAGCACTTGAGGGCACTCCCAGGACCCCCTCCGCAGGGGAAGGTGGCGCTCTGGGGCCAGAGGCTACAACAGCATCAGTGCACATTTGTCCCTGGGCTGCGGCTGTGAATGTGCTGAAGGGGTGAGGCAGGGATGGGGTGTTAGGGAGGAAAGGGAACTCTTTGTGAGTCACATTTCAGACGCCTCCATTCCCATTCATACATTAGGGTCTGTGGGGGATTGGGGCACGTCAATACATTGACAAAAAAAATGTATATGCAATATAAATGCATTAAGAAAAAAAGAGTCCCCAAGAAACTATTCTGAAATGTTAATAGTGGTTCTATGTGGCAGCGGGATCGAGGAGTTTTATACAGTACTTTCATGTGTTTTCCAAATGTTCTACACCAAGCACGTGTTAGTTACATAATCGAAAACTTATTTATTTATTTTTAAACCAAATTCTCCAGCCAACTGTGCTTTTCCCCAGTTGCAGTAACTTTCCTTTCAGTCAGGTTTCTGGGTGAACCCAAAGAACAAGGCGGCCTCCCAAGCCCACATCATGTCACGTTCATATTTTCATTCTCCCTCCGTTGGGCCGGCTCTGCGGAGGCCGAGCGCTGGGGCTGGGGCCAGAATAATGTCCCTGTCCTCAGGGATTTTCCAGCTAGTGGTCTTCTCCCGCTTCTCAACCCATCCCCTTCCCTGTCCGCCGAGGTCGGGCCATGGCGCGAGCGGGCCGCCCTCTGCCTCTGACAGGAGTGGCCTGGGGACCCTGGGCTGTGCAATCTCCCTCCTCCTTTCCCCTGCCGCTGACCCCAACTCTGAGCTGGCGGGGCAGGGAGGCCGAAAGGCCCTGTTGAGCGCTGGGTGCTGGGCAGCTGCCCTCTCCAAGGAGCCCCGGGGACCTCCGGCCAGAGCTAGGCCGGAGGCCGGTGATCAGAGGAAACAGGTGGCCGGGGGTGGCACGCGTGTCAGGAAGGGGCCAGGCCGCGGGGGACAAAGGGTCCGTAGTGGGGGGCGGCCATGGCTCTCCGCCTCCAAGGCGGCGGGTCGGGGCGGGTGTCAGAAGGCTCCGGTTGGGCTTTTTGCGGCCCTGCTTCCACCGCCCCCGAACTCCCCAGGAGCTGCAGGGAGCAACAGGGCACCCGCGACACAGGGACGCGCCGCGCGGGAGCGGAGCGGAAGCTGGGACCCAGCCCCGAGCGCAGGGGCGCCGCCGCGCCGGCTCCGGGAACGCGGACGCCGGGCGGGGTTGCCACAGCAACGCGGACAGGCGCACGGCGATTGGTGGAGCCGCGGAGAGGCGGGACTCGGGAAGCATCTCGCGAGAGTTCGTCTACGCGGGCTTCCGGCCGGTGCTGACCGCAGGGGCCGACGGGACGAAGGTTCCGGCGTGGCCCAGGTGGCTTCCACCGCCACGCGTTTCGGGGCGCTGGGCACCGGGCGGGCTGGCAGGGCTGGTGCGAGGCTGCAGGCGGAGAGAGTCCCCGGGGTCGGCGGTGGCCGGGGACGCCGAGCTCAGGGAGGAGGCCGATTCGAGCGCGGCCCCGCAGGGCCCTGTCTCCCCTTCGCCTCGGCGGGTCCCGTCGGGCCGCCTTGAAGTGCCCGGCGCCTGCTCCTTGCACCTGCTAACGAAACGAGCCCCTGCTGTTCCCCAGCTTCGTAAACGGCGCCCCTGACCCTCCCCAGTTCTCAGGCAGAGCCTTGGCGGCCTCCCTGACCCCTGACCCCTGACCCTGGCCCCTGCATCCAGCCTGGCAGCACGTCCTGTTGGCTGTGCCTTCGACATTTCCCCAGACCTGACCTCTTCTCCCACCTCTGCCACCGCCCTGCTCCCAGCCGGCTTTTCCCGCCGAGGTGACTGCAGTAGCCTCTCAGCTGCCACCTTTTTCTCCTGAGTCTCCTCAACCCAGAAGCCAGAGCGACCTCAGGAGAGAACAGGGGCTTCACGGCCCAGCACGGTTCCACTTCCCTCAAGGCAAGGTCCCCACCGTGCCTGCAGGCCTCCCGAGTCTCTCCGCGGTGGTCTCCGGACCTACTTGCCCTGTCATGCCTGGGAGAACACCTTTGCACCTGCTGTTCGGCGGCTTGCAACGCCGCAGGTTTCCAGGGTGACTCCCACTTCCTTAGTGAGGTGACCACCTACTGAAAACCGTGTCCCCTTCCTATACAGATGGCCCTGTCATATGAGGTTACATCCCCATAAACCCATCATAAGCTAAAGCGTTAAGGCAACTTACAGTGGGTTTATCCGGATGTAACCCCATCCGTAAGCGAAGGAGTCTACTGAATGTGTGCGGCTTTTGCACCATGGCAAAGTCAAAATGTAAGTCAGACTGGAAGTCCAGGGCGCCTGCACTCCGGCGCTGTCCTTCCACAGGTCTTAGCGCCATGCAGCAGGTCGATAATGAACTTATTTGATGTGTATTTTCTGAAGGCGCCAGGACAGCAGAGTTTCTCTCTTATTCAGATCACCATGGGTGCTCAGTAAGCACTGTAGACTGAGGAGGTGTGTGAGGGGTCTTTCTTCCTCTCCCTCTTCCTCACCCCGGAATGGGTGAAGGTGAAGTCCTGTAAGGCAGGAGCTGGATCGAAGAAATGTCCCTGGTCTTGTCTGTGTGCAGACTATTGTTTGAGGACTCTGCTCCAGTTCCAGCAGTGACTGGTGACTCCTTTGGGTGACTCTCCGGAAGGAAGGGTGCCAGCATGGACTGGTGCCTGCTTGCCAGATGCCCTGAACAGCTCATTCCTCAGGAGGCCAGGGGCACCTCAGGAAGTCCTGTCAAATGCAGTCACTCTCAGAACCTTCTGGGCTGAAAGATGTCATTGATATATGCTGGCAGCCCTGCCCAGCACTGTGCTAGGTGTTGAATTGGCTGGAGAACACCTGATATCACCCTCAAGGCCCCTTAGTCTGGCAGGAGGGAACAACGGGGAAGAGGCTGGTGGAAGGCATGGAGGAGGAGGGTGGGATCAGTTTCCAGGGTGGGGTCTCTGGAAGTCTTCTCAGGGGTTCCCCGGGGGTCATTTCTGCCTGCAGTAGCAGGTGTAAGGCATAAGCCATGGACGGGAAGGGAAGGAGCCGTCACTGATCCCTTCCACTGTGCTGATATGGCTCTCGGTGTCGAGCTCACATTTACATGATTAGCCTTCCTTTATGAAGGAGGAAACAGGCTCAGAAAGCCCCTGACCCAGGTTCCACTGCTAGTAAATGCAAGATTCAGATCTTCAGTAGAGCTCCTTGGGGCTGGGAAGCCTGTGCTCTTCCCAGGGCGTGATGCCACTTCCCAGGCAGGAAGCCAGACAGGCATCCAGGGCTGCTGTGAATCGCATGCAAATGTCCGGAGAATTGGCTTCCCTGTGGGCCCGGCACTGGGAGAGGAGCTCTGTGCCAGGCATGTGGCTTGGGCAGGCCAGGGCAGCCCATCTGCCAGCCAACCTTGTGGGAAGGAGACCATAGGCCACCCCACAGCCAGATGCTCCAGGCATCTCCTTCGGGAGAGGAGGTCACCTGGTTCCTCTCTTCCCTCCCATCCAGTTCCAAAGTCAAGGTTTCCAGGGTTGTGTCAGCAAGGGGCCATGCTGGCACCGTCCCTCTGGCCCAGAGCATTTTGGCCAGGGATGGACATCTGGTCTGCTTTGACCCCCATGGCCAGGACATCTGTGGCCCGACAGAACTCAGTGTCAAAAAGAGTCAGTACCAGGGAAAGGCCACGCTCTGCAGTGCCTGCCAGGTGGCAGAGGATCCCTGACAGCCCAGCTGGCATCTGCCCTTGCCACTGAGGCTTCCTGAGGGCAGCCCCTGAGGGCCTGGCATGCCAGGGTTCCCCTTCTGCCAGGCAGTGGCTGTGTAGGCTGAGGGAGGGAGGAGCTGGGCGTTGGCCATGACTGACGGTGTCAGGTCAGTGGGATCTGGAGCCCACAAATGGTGGAGGCACAGCCCCCACCCCTTGCCTGTGACGTGCTCTGCCAGTGGGCAGAGGCATCCAGCCTGCTGTGTAGAAGCTGGAGCTACAGACTGGCAGAGGGAGAAGGGGAAGAGATGGCGTCATTTTACAGACGGGAAAGCTGAGGCCCTGAGCAGGGGTGGATGTGCACAGATGCTCCGTGGGCTTTCTGGTATTTACTCCTCGGCCCAGGGTCCATTTTACAATGAAGGAATTAGGGCTCAAAGGAAATGAAGTGACGTTTCCAAAGTCCCCTGGTTAAGCCAGTTATCTGGCCCTGGCTGGCACAGATCTGAGAGGGGGGCAAAGCAGGCCCTCAGGCCAGGGCCCGGCTTGCTCACTCAGCCACAGCAGGGGAGAGTCGGCCTGAGGCAGCAGGCTGAGGACAGCAGAGCGCAGGGTCAAGGGTGACCCTCCTCCCAGAAACAAGATATGGTGAGGTCCCAGATGGGCTGGGAGGTGGAATGAGGGCTTGGTTCAAGGGAGCCTGCTGGCTGGGCCCCAAAATCCACCTGGGAACAGCCCCCTAGGTGTGCCCTCAAGCTGCTAACCCCTAGTCTGGCTGCCGCCACTCGCTCCTCAGCACTTCAGTGGTCAGGGTGTCTCCTTCCTTGCTCCCTCCTTACCCCTCTTTTGGCACCGGCAACCAGGCCTCTGGGAGGCCAGAACTCTTCCCACAGCCTCCTTCAGGGCTTCCTGCCCAAGGCGGGAGTTGATCTCTCAAGGGTGAGTGGGACTTGCGGCCGTGCTATCAGCAGTTCCTGTCTGTATCAGTTAGCTTTGGCTGTGTAACAAATTGCCCCCAAATCTAGAGGCTTCACACAGCTACTGTCTCTTATCCCTCACAAGTCCCTGGTTTGCCTGACCAGTTCTGGTGTGAGCTTCCCTGCTCAGGGGGTGGCTCCGTGACCCCAGAGCCCTGACTGGAGCTGCTGCCTGCAGCCCTGCGTGCTGGTTCTCACCACGCTGTGTCCCCGCCCCTTCCAGCCCGTGGAGTCACACATCACCACCTAGCCCCTGAAGACACACTCATGGAACCTCCAGCCAGGCGTCCAGACGAAGCCACCAGGGTGGCTCCTCTCAGCCCTGCTCCTGACCAAAGCTTCCTGCCTGTCACATGTGGGGACCACCTGCAGGCAGCTCTGTCCTGAATGCCATTCCAGCCACTGAGGGGAGTCCCCACCTTCCCCGGCATCGTCACCATCAGCCTTAACAATAGTGTGACTTGGTTAAGCTCCTCCAAGGGCCAGGAAGGTCAAGCTGGGGCAGGAAGGAGCAGCCTGTACCAGGTAACTGTGACACAGCCGACAGCCGACGGGCAGAAGAGAGGTGCCCGTGTCCCCTCCTATTGGGACCAGAGAAGGCCTCACAAGGTAGGGGAGGGTCGGATCCCAAGGTAGGAGGAAGCACCGTGGGTCCCGGGGTCCCTGCACTGTAAGGGAGGGTCCCTCGGGGGCCAGGAGCTACATCAGGAGTGGCGGGAAGACTGCATTTGGGGGCCCTGGAAGCCAGGCTGAGTCGTCTGCCTTTGTGAGAGATGGGGAAGTGTGCACGGGCTCTGAGCCCAAGCCTGCCAGGAGCACAACAGAGCTTCAGGAAGCAGCTTTCCAGCAAGTGCTGGGAGCTTTCTTGGAAGCAGGCTGAGTATAAATTATAAATAAACAAACCAGAACCCTGCAGCGATGTGGGCCGGTTGGGAAGAGGGGAGAGACGGGAGGCAGGGCCTGGTTAAGGTGCTAAGGCAGCCCCTGGCCTGGCCCCGCCAGCCCTCCCACCTTGCCCTGCACCCCAGCCTCGGGAACTCAGCGGCCTCCCTGCTCATCGGCAGGGGCCTCGGGCTTCTGGGGCCGACCTTGGCCAGGCTGCAGAGGGGGGCCCAGTGCAGACCCCTACTGTGGGACTGGGAGGCCCGCCCGCACCAGAGGGGAGGCCCAAGTCTTTCTCACACCAAAACAGGCCCCGTGGCCACTCATCCGTGTGGGAGGTGTCTCACCAAATGTTTGAAGGGGGAAAAAAATCCCATTTTCTAAGTTTTTTTTTTCTCTTTCTATTTTTTGATTATTTTTCTAGATGACTTCATTTCTAAGAAGGGGGTAGTGTAGAGAAGGAGGACAGGGGGAGGGAGGACTTGGGCCCTGAGGAGGCTGCCGGGGACCGGAGCAGCGGGGAAGGAGAGCGGGAGCCAGGCCCAGGGAAAGCCCAGGCCTCATCAGCCTGGGGAGCAGGGGGCTGGTGTGTCCCGAGCCCAGGTGTGACCCCAGCCCTGGTGTGACCCGAGCCCAGGTACGTCCCAAGCCCAGGTGTGACCCAATCCCAGGTGTGACCCCAGCCCTGGTGTGACCCGGGCTCAGGTGTGTCCCAATCCAAGGTGTGTCCCAAGCCCAGGTGTGACCCAATCCCACATGTGACCCCAGCCCCAGTGTGACCCGGGCTCAGGTGTGTCCCAATCCAAGGTGTGTCCCAAGCCCAGGTGTATCCCAATCCCAGATGTGACCCCAGCCCCAGTGTGTCCCGAGCTCAGGTGTGTCCCGAGCTCAGGTGTGTCCTGAGCCCAGGTGTGACCCCAGCCCCAGTGTGACCCGGGCTCAGGTGTGTCCCAATCCAAGGTGTGTCCCAAGCCCAGGTGTGACCCGAGCTCGGGTGTGTCCCAATCCAAGGTGTGACCCAATCCCAGGTGTGACCCCAGCCCCAGTGTGTCCTGAGCTCCGGTGTGTCCCAATCCCAGGTGTGACCCCAGCCCCAGTGTGTCCGGAGCTCAGGTGTGACCCGAGCCCAGGTATGACCTGAGCCCAGGTGGGCCCCAACCCCAGGTGTGACCCCAGCCTCAGTGTGACCTGAGCTCAGGTGTGTCCCAATCCAAGGTGTGACCCCAGCCCCGGTGTGACCCAAGCTCAGGTGTGTCCCGAGCCTAGGTGTGACCCAAGCCCAGGTATGTCCAGATCCCAGGTGTGACCCAAGCCCAGGTGTGTCCAGATCCTAGGTGTGTCCCAAGCCCAAGTGTGACCCGAGCTCAGGTGTCTCCCGAGCTCAGGTGTCTCCCAAGCCCAGGTGTGTCCCAAGCCCAGGTGTGACCCAAGCTCAGGTGTGTCCCGAGCCTAGGTGTGACCCAAGCCCAGGTGTGTCCCGATCCCAGGTATGACCCGAGCTCAGGTGTGTCCGGATCCCAGGAGTTACCCAAGCGCAGGTGTGACCGGAGCTCAGGTGTGTCCCAAGCCCAGGTGTGTCCTGAGCCCAGGTGTGACTCCAGCCCCAGTGTGACCCGAGTTCAGGTGTGTCCCAATCCCATGTGTGACCAGAGCCCAGGTGTGCCCTGAGCCCAGGTTCCTGAGTGCTGCTGTGAGTACATCTCCCTCCTGATCCCCCACGGGCCTGCTGGCTGCCTGCACTCCCACAAGGCCTTGGGGTGGGGAGGAAGTCGGCTCTCCTCCAGCAGAGTTTGGGAGGGGAAGGGTCTTCAGGCCTTCACCCCAGATCCCTGGCGTGTGACCCTCCCACCCCCCCCCACCTGTCCCAAGGTCAGAGCTAAGAGCGGTCTCCAGCCACACACACCACTTGGAACCGGCAGAACCCACTCTGGCCAGCTTAACGGAACCCAGTGCAGGATATTAGGAGGCTTATAGAACCTTCTGGAAAGCCTTCACAGCCACACAGCCAGGAGCAACGGCCCGACCACGCAGCCTCCCCGACCACACAGCCTCCCCCACGGGGCATGAACCCGCAGAGCACACCTGCTGTTCTGAAGCCAGGCCCTGCCGCTGTCCCTGATGGTCAAGGGATTCTGGAGGCATCGGCTTCCTGGCATTTCACACCCCTGAGGCTGAGGCTGGCAGGTGTGGGTGGGGCTGCTTCCTGTGCCTGGGCTGGGCTGCAAGGGAGGCAGGCAGGCCCCAGGGCTCTGACTTGTGCCTGAAGAAGGTGGGGCTCTATAAGGCAGGAAGCCCCTCAGGCACAGGACAGTGTTCAGGAGGTGGTGGCCATCCCAGCACCCCCTGAGCCCTGAAAGATTTTTCCAACCACAATACCCAGCAGCCCTCTGGGCTGCAGGGACGGAGCCAGCCTGGGCTCTCGTCTGAGATGGGAATGGCCACTGATGGCCTCTGTGCCCTGGGGACTGAGATGGAACAAACACCTGGTCTGAGGTGAGAGCTGTCACCAGGCCAGAGGGGAGCTGGGGTCCTGGGAGCCTTGTCCATCCACCCTCACTGCCCCTGAGCTCTGCCTGGGCTGGAGAGACGGGAGAGGAGGCTGTCTCCGTCTCCCGGGAGGGGCTGCCATAACAAATTAGCGTCTACCTGATGGCTGAAATCAACTGACATTTATTCGGTAACAGTTTTGGAGACCAGAAGACCAAAATCCTTCTGGGTCCCCACTGGGGACCCTGTCCCAGGCCGCTGTCCCAGCTCCCATGGGTGCTGGGACCTCAGCGCTCCTCGGCCTGTGGACACGATTCTCCCACCTCTGCCTTTGCCTGTGGGCGTCTGGGTTTCACATCTCCCTCTGCCTTTCTCTTTTGAGGACACCTGTCAATGGAGTTAGGGTCAACCCTTTGTGCAGGATGATTTTATCTTGAAATCTTTAACTTCATTCCATCTGCAAAGACTAATTCCAAAAAAGGTCACATTCTGAGGTTCTGGGTGGACACCTCTTTTTGGGACCACCATTCAGGGCACTACCATAGGCATGAGAGACTGGTACAGGACGGGCAGAGGGGGAGGGAGGAGAAGACAGATGGGACCTCGGGGGCAGGAGGGGCCAGCTGCCTGGGGACTGTGGTCCTGGATGTGGGATTGTCTGTCCTCTTACACCTGGGCCTGCTGGTGACTGCCAGATGGTGTTTTCCACCACCCCTGGCCTCCTCACCCCTGTCTGGCATGTCCCAGTTCCAGATGCCATGAGCGCCCCATCCCCCCAACAGCTCCCACACCCCCTCCGAGCCTCAAAGCCCTGAGGTCTCCTGAGTCCCGGAGGCAAGGGAAGCTGCTCCATTCTTTCTCATGTCACTGAAGGCAGAGTCATCTGAAGGGGCTCACGATCCCCTCATCTCCCGACTCCCCATCCCCCACAGCTCTTCTTTCTCCTCCCCAAAGCCCCGCTGTGGAGTTTAAGCCATTTCTTCTGATGAGGATCTCAGAGACGAAGACGCATCAGGGTGCACAGGGGCATGGGTCAGGCGAGCAGGAAAATGTCTGCACGCATTTCGCTGTTCCTGCTGTCTCGACAGGACCTCAGAACTGCCTTTGAGGGAGACCCAAGTCCCATTTCAGGGATAAGAAGAGACGTTTAATGCCTTGCTCGAGAGTTCACACAAACAAAGCTGGGACTTGAACCTGAAATGAGCAACTCCAGCTTTGACTGATTATTTTCTCTGATTCCCCCACAGGAGCTCAGTCCCGTGAGGAGTACTAATCCTGCTGAAATCCTCCTGGAGACAGGGAACCCACCACCTCCCAAAACATGGGCTAAGGCCAGGCCTGGTGGTTCACGCCTATAATCCCAACACTTTGGGAGGTCAAGGTGGGAGGAACGTTTGAGGCCAGGAGTTCGAGACCAGCCTGAGCAACATCTCAAGATGCTGTCTGTACCACACACACACACACACACACGCACACACACACACACACACCCCTGTAGTCCCAGCTACTTGGGAGGTTGGGGCAGAGGATTGCTTGAGCCCAGGAGATCAAGACCAGCCTGGGCAAAACAGTGAGACCCTGTCCCTACAAAAAAAAAATTAGCTGGGTGTGGTGGTGGCACGTGCCTGTGATTCCAGATACTTGGGAGTCTGTAGCAGGAGGACTGCTTGAGGCCAGGAGGTGGAGGCTGCCACAGGTGAGATCTCACCATTGCACTCCAGCCTGGGCAACAGAGCGAGACCCCATCTCAAAAACAAAAATCTCTGTGAGCTCTACCAACGGTCCTAAGTGCCGAGACCTTATTTCATGGAGGGAAAGCCCTTCTGTCTCCAGGGAACTCAGCCCAC